TCACTGAACTTATGATATACACAATCTTCTACTAAATTCATCTCAAAACCAAATGAGATGATGACTTGATGAAATTTATGATACCATTTACGGAAAACCTGTTTAATTCCATAGATAGATTTCTTTAGTTTCTAAACCATTTGCTTTGCATATCTAGATACAAATTTTTCTAGTTGCACTATATAAATTATCCCATCAATGTCACCATTGAGAAACTGTCTTAACATCCATATGATGTAACTCAATATCAAAATGTGCCACCAAAGCTATATCGTCCTAAAAGAGTCTTTTAATAAAATCGGAGAAAAAATCTATTTATAATCGATGTATTCTTTCTATATAAAGCCATTGGCGATAAGATGGGCCTTCTACCTCTCCACATTACCTTTCAAATCCCTTTTGGCTTTAAATATCTATTTGCAACCAATGAGTTTCACATCCCTTATGCAATGAACAGATCTCGAGTCATTATCCTTCATGAACTTTATCTTTTCATTCATGGAATCAATCCATTTTTTCAGAGTTAGAACTTTTCATGACTTGATAAAAGTTTATAAGTTCATTTTTCACCGTACTAATGTCAAACTTATGTTCTTGGAGAAATACAATATAATCATATGGAGTTGTACTTTTCTTCTTTATAGTGGATCTCCTTAATGGCATAAGTACTTAAGGGTGTGAAGTTTGTATTTCAGGAACAATTTTCTGAATAGAAATGAGAGATACTATGACATTGTCTTGATCTAGATTTGCTTCTTGAACAGTGCTAGGTATAAGAATCTGATTTTGATCATTGTTAAGAGCAACTGAAGGAATATGAATATTGACCAATTGTTCTTCAAATACAAGGTCTCGAACACTTTCTCTCCCCACAAACTCAACATCCTCAAAGAATTGGTCATTTTCTGTCTCAAAAATTATTTTAGGAGTGAGATCATAAAGCTTATGACCCTTGAATTGTTCAGAATAACCAACAAAATAGCAACTAACAGTTCTAAAGTCCACTTTCTTTTCCTATGGCCTATAAGGCCTGACCTCAACTGGATGTCCTCAAATGTGCAAATTATTAGAAAACTATGGTACCAATTGTTAGAATTTTTTTTTTTTAAAATCAAACTAAATATGATAAATCTAAACATGCAATCTCGTACCGAATCAATGAGAAATGATAAACAGAAGCATACTTGGATCCATCGCGAGAGATTTGATTGTCTTGTGGTAGATACTTCTGAATCAACACATGGCCTCAAAAAACTATTTTTCTCTAGTGATGAAATTTTAAAAAAATAAAATAGTGCACATGTGATTCAGGAACCATAACTACCTATTTATATCGACATACTTTTGTATTTTTCATTTTACCCATCATAAAATAAAAAATTACAAAAAGGTATATGCACATATTAAGCCCGTATCTAACTCCAATGCATTAAGATTTAATTTTGTTTAACTGTATTTAATTACTTTTAAACGGGCCCATAAATTGATAGTATGTTATTTATAATAAAGCCCACATTAAGCCCATTTATTGAAAAAATCCAACATTGATTTCTTAATAAAACGTAATTAGATCATCAGCAAACAAGAGATGGGTCACAGAAGGTGTTTTTCTGGCAATCTTAATCTTATATAGTAGTCCTTTTGCCTCAGCCTGAAGTAAAATTTTAGATAAAACTTTAGCACGCAACATAAACAAGTAAGAGATAAAGAATCTCCTTGCCTCAATCTTCTTTTAGAGTTGAAACACTGAGAAGTCAATCCATTAATTATACATTGGTAGGAAGTAGTAGTTATACATTGCATAAATAAATTCTTGACTTTGTGAGAGAAATAAACAAACAGAGTCTGCACATGTTTGATTCAAAAGGCTCCATTTAGTTCTATTCAATGCCTTATCCATATCATATTTAATAGCAAATTGAGCCTTTCCTACCTTATTTTTTTTTGTATGAAATGAAGCCATTGATTTGCGATAGTCATATTATCTTGAATACTTATGCCTTTAATAAAGGTTGTTTACATTGGAAAGATGATTTTTGGCACCATAGGTCATGATATATTAGCCAGAAGTTTGAGGTAATGTTATAGGCTACATTACATAAAGAGATTGACATAAAATGATGAGCTTTTTGAGCATCTTCATACTTTGAGATAAGCATAATTTTTGTTTAAGTGAATTATTTTAGAATAAAACCTAACCTAAAAAGTTGTTAAATGCCTTAAATGACTTTTTTTTTTTTTTTATGATTTCCCAATAAACATAATAGAATAGAGTAGGCATGTCATTTGGTTTTAAAGCTTTATGAGCTCTAATTGATTTAGTAGTGGTATAATTTCTTCTTCAGAAGGAACTCATGATAGATTTTCATTGTCAGCTTCTGTAATGATGGACTGGAAAAGATTGCTTAGATAATTAAGGAATTTTACTATTTCACTTTTGAAAAGATTAACATAAAAAAAATTAAATTGAACAACAATATCATCGACTGCAATAAGTTCTCGGTCTTCCTCATTAATAAGAAGATTGATGGAATTCCTTCTTCTGTTTGTTGTGGCAACAGTATGAAAAATCTAGTGTTTTGGTCGCCATTTTCCACTATTCTTTCTTGACTCTTTGTTTCCAGAAAATTTCTTTCATCTTGAGCATTTATAGAATCTCCAACTGTGAACTAGCTTACTTACTCAAATTCTCTACGATTGGTGTAACTTTTGAACATATTCTAGTTTCTTTTCTAATTTCCTGATGTTAGTTTGTATATGCACAAAATGTTGTTTATTCCATATCATTAGAGCTCTTTCAGCATTTTTGAGCTTTTGGACATATTGGAGTGCTTTAGATGCTTACACCTCTTGTTGCCAAGCTTCTTCTATAATATCTTGCACAAGCTATCTCAGAGCTAAACTTCTTTAAATCTAAAATTTCTTTTCTGTTATAATTGCCTTTGTGAAGCTATAGAATCAGGGAAAGTGATCTAAAAAAAGTGAAAATCAACTTAATAGTTGATAATTCAAAAACATATTCAGCCATGATTAAGAGGCCAAAGCTCTATCCAGTCTCACTTTTCTATTACCAATCCTACCCTCTTATCACTTTAGGTAAACTGGTTATCTGAAAAGCACAAATCTAACAATCTAAGCTTAATTATAGTGCCTTTAAACATTTTAGAGATATAGCATTGATGATCTATTTGAATATTTCTCTGATATGACTAGAGAGTCGGATTAAAATCTCTCATCGAAAGTAATGGAAAAGAAAAAAATTCACACCATTGAAGAAGCTGTTAAATAAATCTTTTTTTTTCAAAACATAGACTGGAGGTCCATATATACATGAGAAGATCCAAACATGTTCATTATGTACATTGAAATATGAGCATGAATCATATTGGCATCTTAAAAGATAATAAGTTTATACTGTTACTCCAAGCTAAGCAGATGCCACCTTTCACACCTTGTGTTTTTATTAAAACAAAGTTAGGAAGTTCTAATTTTTTTTCATAATTTTATCATGCTTCTTATTATGTAACTAAGTTTTTGAAAGAAACATAATATTTACACGACACCTCTGTACAATGACCTTTAGTCCTTTAACTACAAAGTCCTAGCCCAACTGGTTGTTTATAGTCTCATGACTCCTTTAAATGCATTTGGGCTACCTCCAAAGCTTCATTTAGATTCTCAGGGGAATGATCTTTTTTTATTTATGAGGTTGAGCATTGATTGACATAAATAATTCTTTTTAAAGAGAGATGTTTAAAAGTTCCACTAGCTTGATCAACTATTTATTCAAGAAGAAGTGAGTGATTAACCAAGGATAGATATGTAAATGGCCATGAGTATCTATCACCCTTAAAATATTGGGATCTAGATTTTGACTCAAATGTTTCTCTTCCTTAAGAAGAGCATTAATAGATTTTTTGAGCTTTTTTCTCTCCAATTTAGGATCAGATTCGTCATTTTATTTCTCTACATTGTTATAATAGTCTCCTTGCAAATGTTAGACAAACTTGTGGCTTCATTTATACAATGTAACAATCCTTGATAACATGCAATAGATACTTTAATCAGATTAACCTTACTGTCTATCCTACCCTATTCTTTTGCTTCTTTGACAACTTCTGTGTTAATCTGCTCACTAAACCATTAATAAGATGGAAGTCAATTTGTAGCCAAGGACTATATGGCTTAAGCCACATTCTATTTGGGGACTTGATAACTGAGATTTTTCCTTAATTACAATCTTTTATTTCCACACTTGTAGCAGAAATCAGGGATCATAACGAAATTGGATCCAATGCTGGTAATTACATGGTTTAGACAGAAATAGACATGGGGATAAAGGTTTAGAAATATTAAAAGAAACTTTAACCCTTATAAAGTCCACCCAATACCTTATTTACCTGCAAAATCCACATTACATAATTATCAATATATGCAATGACATAAGTATTAGTTTTATTGAATATTCTTAAGAATTCTTACCCGAAATACTACTTCAAAGAAATTAAATTCTTCTACCGAGATATTTGAATAGCAATCTTTAAGTAAAAGCAGCGAGCCCCTTATTTTCTAAGCACATTGAGTAGATATTTTTTTAATTAGCCTAATGACTGAAGAACAGTATAAAAGATTTTTTGCCCAAAGGCCTAAAGGAGACCTCTTTGTTGCACAAAAATTAATTATCCATTGAGGTCTTGAGGTTATAATTAGTATCATATAGACAACATATACAAATATTTTTATATATGTAGCAACAAGATATTGTTAAAAAAAATTTCTCTATAACAAGACTAATTGTATTAATATGACTTCTTGTTTTATTAGTGTTTATCCTGGTTTTTTCTAGAACTAAACAATTTTACTTTATAAAATAATAATTAAAATGATATTAATTTGCAGCTTAGGGCATGTTTTTATTAAAAAATAAAAATGAAAACGAGAACAAAGGAGGGGTAATTCAGTAAACTAACCTTTTGAAATTAGCCTCACTTTAGAGGTTGAGACCCATCGAAAGAGAAAAAGGGTCAGACGAAAGGAAGAAGATGGAGACTGCGGCGATTTTAGGAGGAGGGACTCCATGTGTCTTCTCATCTTCTTTACTTCACTTACCAGCGTCTTCAAACAGAACTGCGTGCAGCTTATGGTGCGCCCCAAACAAGCTTATACTAAGCACCTCCACCAGTCAACTATCAGCATTCCGTTCACAGTCCCATCTTTTTTCAAATTACCCGACTACTACTCCTCCTCCTCCTCCTCGTTCCAAAACCAGTGCCCGTAACTCCACCCAAACTGGCATCTTCCTCCCCCACTTGGTCGCGTCCATGGTTTGTCTCTCTGAAACTCTTTGTTTTTAACGTGGTTTTGAAGAGCCCCATTGAATAAGGTGTTGAGTTGTGGTTAATTTTGAAAGGAAAACTGTCAAACTATAATTTCTTCACTTTTTGCAGAAATTTTCATTTACCCATTTGATTATTCTTGTATTGTTATCTGGATGAAGTTCATTTCTTTAGTGTTTACGATAATTGGTAGAAGTACATTTACATTTTTCTTTTGAGAGGAAAAACCATTTGTACGTTTGTGGATTTTTTGAAGCTCAGTTTTATTGCTGTACATTATATTTGTGGCTTAATTTTCTGTTCAGGAGCAAGTGGAAGAGACCTACATCATGGTTAAGCCCGACGGTCTACAGCGTGGTCTTGTAAGCTTCACTCGTTAATCTCTGTGTTCTAATTCAAATGCTATGTTTAATTGCTGAAATTGGGCGGTGGGGAATTATAATCTTTTCTCTCTTTCTATTCCTCAGTTAATGTCAACAGCGCAAATGAAATCAGAGGAAGAAATCTGGAAAATATTTGTTCTAAGAATTTCTTGTACCTTCTTCCTTGTCTTAGGTTGGAGAAATAATTTCAAGATTTGAGAAGAAGGGGTTTAAACTGACTGGCTTGAAGCTCTTCCAGTGCCCCACAGAATTGGCAGAGGTTTGATTTTGTATTTATCTTTCTATTTAGCCTCTAGTGTTTAAAGAAACTTGGCTGGCTTAATTTGAGGAAGTGGTTCTTTACATGGCTGAACTTTTGTTAAATCTGCTAGATACATAATACAATGTTTAGCATAAAAACCCTGTTTGGTTATTGGGAAGTCACTGGAAAGGTCATATAGGACAAGGTCCACCAATCTCTCATAGTATTTTACCTTGATACATAAGAACCAATGAGGATATTGATGTGATCCATATATGTTATTTTACTCTCTTGGATATGTCATCCTGAAGGCATTTTAGTAGATATCCGAGCTTAGTTTCCATAGCTTATTCTTAGACCATAAATGATTGTAAATTTTCATTGGATGCTCACTTGTGTGCAATTTCTAATTGTTACAGGAGCATTATAAGGATCTCAAGTCCAAGCCATTTTTCCCTAAACTGATCGAGTATATTACATCAGGCCCAGTTGTCTGTATGGTAGGATTCACATCACCTCTTCCTTACTCTCCTGTTGTAACTTTTTAGTTTTTCAGCGTAAACCAATCATGATGTTATATTGTCAAGGCTTGGGAGGGTGTTGGTGTTGTTGCCTCAGCGCGGAAGCTAATAGGGTCTACAGATCCTCTTAAAGCTGAACCAGGCACCATACGAGGGGATCTTGCTGTTCAAACGGGAAGGTTAGACCCTGAAGGCTTTAAATTGACTATACTGCATTAAGATTTTGTTGACGATCATAATTAATCAAAAAGACAAGGCTTCATGAAGATTGTCTTTGGCAGGAATGTGGTCCATGGCAGTGACAGCCCTGAGAATGGCAAGCGTGAAATAGGTAAAGTTCCTTGGACCATATGCATCCATTGATTATGCTGTGTAGCTAAGTATCGTGTGTTTTCTTTCTCAGTCTCAATCAACGTCAGATCCATAATTAAGATGTTAATTTTTGTCCTCGAGAAGTCTATAATGTGCCATTGGAACTCATTTAGCAGTCCTTTTCTTTTCAAGAATTCAAACATTTAATCTGGGCAGTATGCACTGATAAAAACATAATAGTAGTTGGAATTATATGCAGGTTAGTAGAAAAGATGAGCATTTTTTATGTTTAAAGAAATAAGTATATATTTTTTTTGTATTTTTCAGCTGAAGTGCATATTCTTAGACAAATGACTCGAATACAATAGGAATATAATAGTCTGAGAGAAAATATTGGTGGTAGCAATGGGAGTACTATTAGGAGAATGATTTAATTTTTTTTTTATGTCATTATAATTTAGTACTCTTACACTTGATTCAATCCTATTTGATTCTCTTATGTTTTCTACATTTTTGTTGTCTAAATTGTATTCTATAGAATTGAAATTTGAACCAATTACAACGTTAGTATCTTATTCGTGTTTAGAATACCTCCAAGTTCCTATTAGGATTCCTTAGTTATAATTATATTAAGATTCTAAGTTAAAGCATTACAAATATTTCGTAACATCACATTTCTATTAGTCTACTAATTCAATAAAATTACGTAGAATTTTCTCAATATTCATCGTAGCATGACGGAAACAAATTTCAACTTTGATGCTTAGCAAGTCTTAGCTGTTATATCTAAAGACTATAGATTCGATAACTAGGTTAACCCCAGACCATCTTAGCATACAAAGTACTCCTTATTTATCATACATCAGAATGTGTGGGTGAGGGAGAAAAGGAGAAATGTTTTTGAATGATAATGATGTTATAATTTTTAGTGTAGTTTTTTCCCACTTATTGAGTTTTAATGAAGAGAAAGCTAGAGAAAGAAATATATATACTGAGAAACTGAACCAGTACAGCTTCTAATACTTTGTTGAAGTGGAAAGCATCCTGTCTTCTACTTGCTAAAATTTCATTCTCGGATCTTGTCTCATAATTGGAGTGCTCTGCAGCTCTCTGGTTTAAAGAAGGTGAACTGTGTGAATGGACACCAGCTCAGGCACCATGGTTGAGAGAATGATCTTTCAGTGATTCTTGATCAGTAGTCAGGCTGAAATTCTGGAGGTCTCTCTTTCTTCAATATTTTGTTGTACCTCATTTTTTGCTACGTACAAATTCAGTGGCCAATTTAAATCATACATTCACAAGTACTGTTATACCGTATAGAGTAAGGAAAATTTTCATTAATTGTTCTTGTGTTAATTTGTAATTCATATATGAATTTGTATACGAGTCAGAAAAAATTCATCGTTCATAGAAGCTTAACTCCAATTTTCTTATCTTGTTACAGGGTTGAGATTATGGCAACTTTTGTATTCTTGCATTTTCTTGGGAGTTTAATTCAAACACGCAGTCCAACAGTAGTATTGTTTCCCTCCTCCTGTCTGGAAACAGTTTTTAGTTAGAATTTGGGTTTGGATTGAGAAGATCAGATTTGAAGAGGATAGATTCTGGTTGGTTCGGATCTGAATTTGGTGGTTCAATAACTAGAATTATTGATGATGAGAAAAAAATAAATAAAAAATAAAAAAAAACCTTGACTAGTTTATTTATATCTAAAAATAAATTAAATATATAATTTACATATATTTTATGTGTTACATGATTTATATATATATAAATATTTTAAATTTGTGGATCTAATTTTATATTTTAAATATTTGAACGAGACTGGATGTATAAAATAATTTAATTGGTTGGAAGCCCAACTGAAATTCAGTCCGCTATCTTGCCTGACCATGAATTGCTAGGCTTATACGTACATACGTACACAATCTCATTCTAGAGAATAAATTTTAGAGAAAAAAAAAGCATGGGTGAAAAGGGTGTCACGGTTGGGTAAGTATTAAGTTTACATTTTATAAACTCTAGTATTAACTAAATTTTGGTCCTTAAAATTTACAATTAATGTTGTACTACTTTTAGTCCTCAAATATTTTTACAAAAAAAAAAAATTTGAGATTTACAATTTAATGATTGAAGTTCTAATTAGTTTTGTACTAACAGTAGGCTAAAAACAAGGAATCAAATTTAAAAAAGCTTGAATCTTTAATTCTATAATTGAAAACATTAAATATCCAACTTTCTGGGGATAATTGAAAGCATTAAACTATTAATTATAACTTTTAGATATTATTATTTTCAGACATTAATAATACTTAACAGGTCGGTAAATAATATTACAAACTTTTCTTTCTTATTAAATTTCATGATTAGCCTCGTCCAACCTGTGGGAACAGAATCTGGCGACGCATGTCCACGTGCAGCCAGCATAGTAAGCATATGCCTGTAACAAGTAAGATTATTTGTTAAAATTTATTTAAAACAATGTGTTTTAATCCAATTATGAAAATATTAAGGTTCTTTTCAAAATATAATCCACGCAATACGTATCAACTTCAAATCAAGCAGTTAATTTGTAACAAACACATCCCAACAGATTCCTTCATAAAAGAAACTCTTTAGTGTTGACAGTCTTATTTGATCCCTTGAAGAACAAAAAATACTCTACACACCCATAACCCAACTAAATGTAGAAAGGTATAAAGTTCAATATATAGAAGCATACAGTGAAAGCATAGGATGGAAAAAGAAAAAGAGAAGTTCAAAAGTCATATGAATACGTGTTCGAGCAAAATCCATTCAGGTTTCTAATTGACACTTGGTTTGGAGGCCACTTCAGAGAAACACAAAATTTACACACCCACCTGCACAGGCCTCCATTGCTCCACGCCCAACACATCCAGAACCCGGAAAGAAACCTTAAACGTCATTAAATATACTTTGTGCTGTTCCTTCCCGTTTCTGTCCAAACAAATTTCTCCTAAAACCATCTCTGCTTTCTCTCTTTTTCCTTGAAAGAATCGGCTAGAAAAAACCATTTACTTTTTTTTGCTGGGACATGGAAAGCACCGAGGAGAAAGGTGAGAGTATATTGTATGCTGCTTGTTAGTGCTGGTGAAAATTGAAGCATGGGATGGACTGCAGAAAGGCATAAGGCTATTTGCCCAAGCCGCTTCGGGCATGGGAGAAGGGGTCTGGGTTTCAACTTGACATATGTTTATTAGGAACGTGCCTGACGATATTAAACTTGTTTTACTGACACCAACTTAGGGGAAGCATGGCACAAAGACATTTTAATAGATGGGGTGAGTGAAATATAAACACCCGGTGAAGAATTTGAAACTTACCTGATAATTAGTGGCCATCCATATAATTACACAGACTCAAAACAATTATCGTTTCCTATTATCATGGCCACCTCGCACGATGACCTTTGTGAATGTTGCAGACTCCTGTACTTGGAAAACAGGTAAGCGACAAACGTATTCCTGCTCCCATGCTCTTTCAAGCTTCTTGTAGATTGGTAATCACTGGAACTTGGCGAACTATTGGCTGAAGAACAATCTGTGTCGTCCATCATAGCCCCCTCATTGGGTGAGATGGGTACGGTTACCTGTTTTTTCATTATACCTGAACTGACTGAGCTTGGGGCATATTCTGGAAGACTCAGAGAATCACAATTCCCTTGGATCTCCGCTGCTGCTTCAGAGTGGTCATTCTTTGCACCCAGTTTGAGCTTCAAAAGGGTAGCCTCTGCATAAAAGAAACGAAATTCAATATATCAAGTAAAGAATCAAGAGCAGTAGGAGTACATGGTTTTCAGTTTCCCCTCTAGATCTTCAAGTAAATAAGGTACAGAAGTTGGTGGAGCTAGTACCTAGGTAGATTTTGAGATTGTAACAGAATAAGTAAATGATACTTGAAATGCATATCATCCAATCAGATATTGAAGTGAATTGAAGGAAAGAAAAACAAAAAGAAATTAGTCACATCTTCCATGAAACACAATGTTCTTTCGAGACTTATGACAGGGTCTACGGAGAAGAAACTAATACAAATTGCACACCAGCAGAGCAGGAGTTATTTCAAGTCTTATGAAAGGATCTAAGGTGAAGAAACTAATAAAAATTGCACACCAGCAGACCAGGAGTGATTTCAGGTCTTATGGAATCATACATAGCCGCAGCTTCAATGCAGTCCGTTGACTTACTTATTCCTGTTGCTAATAAGCAATTCGTTTTCCTGCTCATCCATGGTGATCATCTCAATTTCAAACAAATGACAATGTTAGTACTAAATTATCTACTCATGGTTCATGGCCCTCCGACAGTTTGAAGCACCCTTCAAGGACTCTAGATCAAATCATACTACATATTATTTAAACCCAAAGTTCATAATAAATTTGAACCTGAGGGATTGAAAATCAAATTAAAGCCTAAATTTAGCACGCTTTTTCATACTGCTCACATCTTTAAATCCATGCTAAATTCGTTTTTTAATTTCTTCTCTATATGAAATTTTAGATGAATTTCTTATCATTACAACCAAATTTCTACACTTGATATTTTTCTCTTAAAAGAAATATTCCTGGATATTTGTTGCTCCTTGTGTTGAACACAGTGTTAAATTTCATTAATCCATTTCTCATTCTATTTACTGTGTCATTATTTCTAAATTTTCCATTAGTATTAGTATATACGTTTATTCTTCTTATACATTTTCTATTGAATTATTTAATGCCAGAATTCCAATTACTAGGCAGAGAAGTAACTGAAATACTACCGTCAAGTAGTTCAATGATGGGATGAGACTAGCTAAAACATAAGAAATAATATCATAATTCAATATATCAATACCGTCATGAGCAATTAGAAGTCAAAATTAACTAGAAACACGAAAAGATTTGAACCAAACGGACAAAAAAGAATTCCTCAAGTTGACGCATTTTACAGAATCTTTTTTCTCTCTTCTAATTGATAAAACAACAAACTGGAGTATGGTCTATCTGAAGTACATCCTTATAGATTTATATATTTTAAAATCTAAAATTACCGAAATTTCATTTTCATCCTTCCCTGTTACAACCAAACCGAGAGGTAAAATGAAACTAACCGCAGAAAGAAAACCAAATTGAAATCGCAAGCAAATCGGAAGCCTGAAATTGAAGATCAGCTATGGATTTTACATCGGCACAAACTGGAATTAAGCATGTGTAGAGAGAGAGAGATATATAGAGAGAGAGAGAGGGTTACCATAGATGGAGAGAGAATCGTCTTTGAAAACTTTAGAAGGAGGCCTCTCAAGGCTATCTAGCGAAGAAGACGAAGGTCTCATCCTTCCAAACATTTCTTCTTCGTCTCTTCCTCTCTCTCTCTCTCTCTCTCTCTCTCTCTCGCTAAATCGGTAGATTCGTTGGCGGGGTGAGAGAAAATGCTTGAAAATGAAAGGGAGAGGAGAGAAGTGGCGCCACAAACTGAGTAGAGGAGCGGGAATCGTACCCGGCACACTTTTTCTGTAAAACATGGGTTGGGCCCCAAGTCTCCAGCCCAATCTAAGTTAAATTTTCACTTCTTTTTGGGGTTTATCATTGTGACATTATTTTTTCGGTAGAAAAAAGAGATAGATATACTTTATTATTATTATTAGTAGACTGGCTATAAATTTTGAAATATTACAAATTAGAAACTAATAATACATGTTTATTAAAAATTATCATATATATATATATGCATATATAACTTTTGAACTCTTTTACAAATGAGTTACACGGAATTTATATAAAAAAAGCTAAATCAAATATATATTTTTACTTACTTTCAAATTTCATGAATATTTATAAGCCTTTTATCTATTTTTTAGTTTTAATATCAAAATATTATATATATATATATATATACATACATAAATAAATATGTACAAAGAGTGTGTGCTGCAATGGTTATAGAAGTTTTCCATTACAGCAGCTTCAGGAAATCAAATCCCATAGATTGGGATTATAGGTAAATAAATAAACAGAAAATAATATACTCAACTTTGGATAACTAACAGTCTAACAGATAAAAGTATGCAGGGGATTAACTGCAACTCACCAATGAATTCTTTCAATGAAGTCACTGTACATGAATCATGAAGTTAAACTTTGCAAAAAACAGTTCAAATAACTTGCCTCTGAGAGCTGCTGATGAACATACGAGCTTCTCATGACTCTCTTCAAACTCTTAACTCAGTGAAATGAGATACTAGAATCCACCTAAAAAGATAACTTAGCTTATCCTTCAATGTCGTTGCTGTTGTTCCACACAAAACATTATCCAACATCTCTTAGAAATCACCAAGGTGAAAAATCAAGTATCCTACGGAAACACTAATCAGAATATCGGCAAACTCATAGTTCGCGTCAGAAAATGGTTTGGAGTTGATTCACACTTCCCTCTAATCACTTGCTAATCACTCTTTCCAGTATAATCTTCTGAAGAAGCCACGCCTTGTACCCCTAGTCTTTCGATCCTTGTCTGAAATAATACCAGTAAGAATGTGACATTCAGAATCCAGAGGAAAAGAGAACCTGTGCAAACAAGTTGCTCATATGAATGTTAGTTCATGACGAGTGTCAACACTATTATTTCTTTGGAAGGAGATTTACATAATATTCTTCTTACTTTAGAATGTTATATTTGTAATTCCAACATCGGATAGTTATATGCCCAGTAAATACTCTTGTTACTTCAGAATTCAGAAAAACAATTCACCTTTTAATCTTCCAGCTACACATAGAGCCTCTTCCGCTATTGGTTTCCACTGCTCTGCACATGAGTAATTAATTCCAAGACCAACACTAAGTCCTCTCAAGAGATGTACCGTGCGAAGAACAGAAAACAGTTCCTCCGGAAAAGCCTGTAATCAACAAAATCCAGTAAAGAAATAGATGATAGACCAAATACCAGGAAAACAAAATGACTCCTCAGAAAAATAATATTACCAAAAATTTACTGATATCTCGGACTAAGAAATATTTACTTTATTTTGAAATTCCAGAGTATTGCTTTATAAATGATGAAATATACATTTGTTCCGTCTGGTTATGAATTTTAATTTTCAAACATTGGAGACAAATGAATCCAAATGGAAATCCACCTGAATCAACAGAGAAAACAGAGAAGAAAATGTGCTTGCAGATAGTATATTAATGAACAACACGTGCTTCGAAAAGCTATCCAATTCAACCAAATCCAAGCAATGGTATCTGCTACTTCCCACCAAATCCAAGCAATGGCATGTGCTACTTCCTATTCAATTAAATTGACCCTGAATTTTAAATATACAAGCTTATTTGACCCATAAAATGCTGCAAGATCTTTAACATATACCATGTTTCCATTTATCATATTTTTCAAAATGATGAACATAAGTTAACATCTACTTCTGATCAATGTATGTCATTTAGTATTTAAGAATGTAGTAAAAAAAAAAGATATGAGTTTATCAAATCATGACTACCTTAACCATTAAATAGTATATCTTTCATGCAATAAAATAATAATCATCACTATCACCAAAAGAGGGCAAAAAAAGAGTTCTTTTTAGTTAGGATTCCCGGATTTTTATTATTTCTTTATTTTTGACTTAAATACTTAAATGATTCTTATACTATTCGTTTTTGTTTGTAACAAAACAAACCTTATACTTTAAGAAACTATTCAAATAAACTCCCAACCATCAACTTCTATTAACATCATTTATGTACATTTCACGTGGTTACTTCAACGCCCACATGCCAAATCTTTTTTTTGGCTTAACTAATTAAATGATCCATATGCTACACATTTTTGTTCAAATAACCCTCTACATTATTTTTCTGTTCAAATAAACTACTTTCCAAAAGTTATTCGAATAAGCACTTGACTGTCAACTTCCGGTAACACCATTTCAAAGACATGTACACAAAAGGCCAACTCAAAGTTGCTACTACTGATGAAGAGAGATATCGATCATTCTCTAGGATATCCAAAAATTATGAGCTTTCATGTAGTTTTTTTCATGTATAAAGACCCTTGTCAGTGCATCAGCCATGCTGGCAAAAGTCTATAAAATACTGTTATTACATGGCTACATCAGCCGCCATACCGTAGATACATACAGAATGTCAATATATGTTGACAATTGGGATTTATTTGAATAATTTTCAAAATCACGGAGTATATTTGCACATAAAAATGGGTTTTTCTTTTATAGAATAAGAAATATTTTAGTAAAGGAGAGAAAAGATACATATTCGGTTAACAGGTGAGTCTCCTCAAATATTTGTGAAAAAGAAAAAGTAAATTACAATAGAAACAGAACAAACATGAACCAAACTGCCTAAAAGAGCAAAATAATTGCCTTCCAATTTCGACGAAGCTCGGAGATTGCTAAATCATAATAGTTCTCGTGAGGTTTAGCCCATAAGGTGGCCAAGAACGTTAACCTTTCCCACAGCTCATGAAATGGCAGGGTAACGGTCTTCAGATATCCTACTGCTCCTCTCTATCCATACCTTCCACACACCAGCGAAGAAGGTAGAGTGCCATAGGGGTTCTGCCACCTTCTTGACCCCTTCCCCATGAATAAACAGTCATTTGAACCAAAAAGAATAGTATAGAGGCTATTTAGGTATTTAGGCCCTTTGTTTACTGGGGGATTACTTTAAAGTTAGGTATATTATTTTAGTTTGAAGAGGAAAGAAGAAATACAGAAATAAAGCATGGCCAATATAACCATTGGAACGTCGAATGAGCAACCAATATGACCATTGGAACGTCATATAAGCAAGGAAAAAAATGGCCAGCTGCACTAATAAAGCCAAAACTTTTGCAATTCTCTCATAATTTCATGTTTTCAATTCAAACTGTCAAGACGTTCAAAACCACAGCACTCTCCTCAAAAAGATTTCAACCATATCTCAAGTTACAACACATGCTCATAAACATACTGCTGTCAAAATCCATGATAGAAAAAGATCAACATTTCAGCTCAAAAGTGATCTTAGAGTAAGGAATGTTAATTGCAACCCTGTGCCTTGTTATTAGTGTGGTTGTCTGTTAAAAATCTAAAGCAAAATTAGCCTATCATACATATTGAAAAATGAAATCATACAATAATTCATTTCATCCAAAATTCTAAGAAACAAAGAAAAAGCAATGTATATCCAAGTACGTTTTGGCCCTTTAATTATATTGCTATACCTGCAACTCTCCCGGTTAACAGAGAACCAGGGAGTGTTATATGTTGCGAAGTTACCAAGTGAAAAAGCTTGAACCCACAAACAGCATGTACAACATTTTGCTTTAAGTGAATCTACCACTTACCTCAACAGCTACTTTTTTAATTGAAGAATCTTCTGAGAAAGGTTGCAGCATTGAGACCCCTGGATAGGATTTTGTGTCAAACATTGTCTGTGCTAACTTGAATAGTTCCTGATTTTCATTCTGACATTTGCTGAATGTACGAATTCCAAGGTCCCTAAAATGAGAAGATATAAATAAATGTCAATGATAAGATCTGTAGCACAGAGTTACTTTGGGCTTTTCTTTCTTAAATCAGCTTCAGTTTTTAGTGAAATTTCTTGGAATTATGAAAACGTC